AAAAAAAAAAAAAAAAAAAAAAAAAAAAAAAAAAAAAAAAAAAAAAAAAAGCAAACACACCCCAAAACAAACTCTTGCTTAACAGTGGAATTTAAACATCACCGTGGGTTGGTCCAACTGTATTCTCAGAAAATCTCATGGGAGTTCATGGGCCTGCAAGCCAGGCTAGGTGAGCACCAGCAGTACTTCTGCTGAAGTGAATAGCACAAAAACTTAACACTTGCACACCCAAACCTTTGGCTTTGGTTTTGGTGTGTGTGTTTCTTGGTTCCAAAATATTCTTACTGAGAAGATGGAATCATTTTACTAGATTGAGGCCTGCAGTGGAAAGTCTCGTAGGATGAATGCCTTTCATGGCACGTAGTCAAGCTCAGGTGGGAGATGGAGTAGTTTGGAGGAAATGCTCCTTTACCAGTTCTCTATTCCTGCTTGTTCCTTTATCTTAAACTTGAAAGGAATGTAAGAGGATTCTCTGCTTCCTCTTCCTTATAAATCTTCCTCTTCCTTATAAATTTCACATTACTGAGCTATTCTTACCCTGTGGTTTGGAGAGAGTATTTGGCTTTATGATCACTGAAGGCATGTTTTTTTTTTTCCTCTGATGTGGGTTTTTGGTGGGGAGTTTTTTTGGGTTGGTTTGTTTTTTTTGTTTATTTTATGGTTAAGACATTACATCCTTTCTTCCCTTTGAAACAGAAGTTGCCACTTATTTTTGCTGTCACCTTTGTGCAGGTACTTGCATTACGTCGGAAGCAGGCGGCGTGGCTCAGCCAACATCTTCAGAAGGCACGAGGAGTTTTCTTTGAACCCACTTCCCCCCAGAACTGATGATTCAGGACTCCCCACTTATGAGCAGGCAGTGACTTCAGACGGACAGCACAACGTGCCACCACCCCCTTACCCAGGGCCCCCCAGGGGGACGTGGATGTTCCGAAAGTCGATGTCCCTTCCTGCCCCCTAATCACAAACCTCCTTCTGGGCTGAGGGGGGGACTCCTGAAGCATCACATGCATTTGAAGGAGTGTGTGCTACCTTGCATATTGCAAGACGCCTTACAGAAACATGAAAGATCTTCAGGACAATGAGGAACGAGTGAAGTTCCCATTTGGGAAAGGAGCTCACCTTTCTGCAGAGGCTGCAGGGCTGTTCTTTGCACAGAGCCACTGTGCTGAGAGGGGGCAGTGCACGAAGAGCAAGGCTGGGACTGCTGCCCTCTTCCATCTGCACTTTGAGCCATCCCATCAAACTATTGATGTTTCATTAATAGTTTCTTTTTTTTTTTTTTTGTCTCTTCGGAAGGAACAGTATTTTAATTGCTCTTATTGACACTAGCAATTTTTTGTGACTTAGTACTTTAAACCACCATAAGAAGTCTACTTTTTGTTGAAGCCCACGTGTTCACTTCCTTGCTGTGTGAATTTTCTATTCGCTCTAATAACTGATTTGAGTGTGAAAATTATTTCATGACTTGATCTGGATTACACTGGTTTATTTTAGACATTGCTAATTTGTTGTATTTTTGTGTTTATAATTTTGGACCAGAAGGAACCATTAATTACATGGCTCTCTACCCATTCAGACAAAGTATTTTTGTGTCAGATGGTTTTGATGTTCAACAGTAAATACCAGGTCAAAGAGAATTAAGTAGAGTACTGTGGGTCAGGGCTAGAGATTTGTCCCTGGATAAAAAAACTACCCAGGTTTCTCCCAGCTAATGTTTCTTTCGTAGTTTAAAAACTAAAATGTTGAAAAAGACATTTAATTTTCAAATCAAAGGCCGTTGATAAGTGTCTGTTGCACTAATGGGATGACAAAATATCTTTTAACATTGTATTAGATCAATAACCAGTATCCACAGAGCACTAGTCAAGGACTTCAGGGAATTACTGATTAACTGCATCAACACAGTGTCTCTCTATCTATGGTTGTGGCCACCATTAGTTTGACATCTTGCTAAAATATCAACGCCCAGCATTCTGTGGCTTTCAGATCTTGCTGAGCAAGTTGCTGACCAACACTTGTGTCCCTTCACCTCCCTGCCCCAGGAAACCATATCGAAGGATCTCACAGGCAACATGTTGGGCTGGGGTTTGGACAGTGGCTGTACAGTTACACACATGCCAGGAAGTTTTTTTAAGAAGAAACAAGTCCCCCTTTCCCCCTCCCCCCCATTGGATCAATGCTGTCAAGCAGCAAATTATATTTTAATTTGGTGCCTAAAATGCACTTTAATAAAGGCTGGATCTTTCTGTGTAACATTTCACTGGATTTTATGGTTTTTAACATGTTAGAACCTACAGTGCTGTTAAGTGAGATGCAGAGGATTGGTCTGAGATTTTTAAATGCTCTTGCAAGTAAGAAAATGTTCCAAATTGACAGAGCTACACAGGGAGGTCTCACCCTCTGAAAAACACACCAAACACAGCTGATAGCAGTGGACAGTGGTGTTCTCATTCATAAAACG